CTTCCTGGGTCCTAGAACCTATAGAAACTCAGGCTGTGACTCCCCTGCCCCAGGTCAGGTTAAGTCACTCCAGATGGGGCTCTGAGCTCAGAAGCTGCAGGCTCAGACCTCTAGGGGTCTCCACAGCTCTGGAAATCCAGTCCCAGGGTCTGCAGAGCCTTATTCTGAAATGCGAGAGAGTAGATGACAGGGGGATCTTTCTGACATTTGCAGGAATAACAGGCAGGAATTTGGAGGTCAGGTGGTCTAGTCCTGCTTGAAATCCTTCTACCAAATCCCTGCTCAATGGCCAGCCAGTCCCGACGTAGGCACTCCCAGTGACAGGGAGCTCGCTACCTGTAGGACAGAACTGTCTTTTGAGAACAGCACACGTAAGTGGATTTTTAGGTCCTTATTCAGAAAAAAACCTGACTCCCTACCACTTCTTCCCACTGGTTCTAGTTCTGCCTATAGGAGATGCCTGGGAGAGTAAGACTGAATGGTGTAGTTGCTAGGAATATGGGTGTGAGAATGTGGGACTTGACACTTAGCTGTGTTAACTGTATACCTATCCCTTAATCACTCTGAGCATCAGTTTTTTTTTGTCAATAAAATGGGGATAATAATAATACATGCTTCACTGGATTATTGTGAGGAGTAATTAAGATAATGCGGGAAGAGTTAAGTCACACAATGATGGAACAAAGAACATGATCAATTCATTGTATCTATTATCTAGTGTAATCCCTTAGCCACAAGACTGTCTTGAGAGTTGGAGACCATTGTGGCATCTTGGCCAAGAGAGCAGGCCAGCAATGAATCTGGGGGATGAATCCCACCGCCGCCATTGGCTATGCTCACCAGTGATGAGGTTGTCCACAAGGGTGGTGGGCATGCAGAAGATGCCCACCAGCAGGTCACTGACAGCCAGGTTGAGGATGAATATGTTGGTGACGGTGCGCATGTGCCGGTTCTTGAGCACGATGAAACAGACCAGGGAGTTGCCCACCATGCAGAGGAGGAAGATGAGCACGTAGGCCACAATGAACATGGCCGCCACTGGTGAGGAGTGCTGGTAGTAGGAGGAGAAGGTGAAGTGTGCAGCTGGGGTGGTCTCGGCGTGACTCCCATTCTGGCTTAGGGGCCAGCTGCTGTTGGGCAGCTGGGAGGGCTCCCCTAGGAGCAAAGGAACATAAGGGTCAGGATCCTAGACAAAGAAGAGAAGACTGACTTCTCACCCTTGGTGAGGCCATTCTGTGCTCCCAACCCTGATCATGTGCTCAACTCCAACTGTAAATGGGTACACTGATCCAAAACTTTCCACCCACAGCCACTGAAACCCTGATCTCACGCCACCCACCCCGTCCTGTCCACGGCTCATTTCCCAGTGTTGGCTATTCTCCATTTGCACATAATCCCTCTCCACCCCATCTAGACTCCACCCTTCTCAGCCCTGCTCCCTGCCCCAGAGCCTGACCTCTAAGGACTACATCACCCAGGTTCCCTTGCCCTCTGGTTTTCTGACTAGGTTCAGCCAATGGAGGCACCGAGGGAGATTGAAGGACTAGAGAAGAAAGAGGTCAGAGTATTCATCGACGGAGTCTCTCCCTGCCTGGCCCAGTTCTGCCTGTGGGGCTGTCTTTATGGGCACAGCTCCTGTTAGGTGACTCCTCTTCCGTGACTCTAGCTCTTGCAGGACCACAGTGACACTGTGCCCTTTCTGCACCGAAAGCTTCCTGTGATTGCCAGTCCCAGGTGGCTTCACCATCCCTTGCTGGTTCTCTTGCCCTCCCTTTTCTTCCTGTAAAGTTTCCCCTCCGCTAAACTCTCTTCAGTTAGACACTTTCTGAGTGTATCACCTATTTTCTTCTGAGACCCTGAGTGTTACACCCTCAACATCTTTGATGTCCTTCCTCATCATCTCTTTCATGGAACTTTAGTTGGGAAAGGCAAGAAGGCAGTCAGGGAAAGGAGAATGAAAGGGGACGCTGAACTAGGACAAAGGAGCAAAGGCACACATTAAATTCACCAGAAAATCATCCAAAGCCAAGGCCACCACCTATCCTGTACCTCCTCCCCTCATGGTGATCAGCTGCTTCATTTGCATAGCATTTAACAAAGCACTTCCATATCTATTATTTTATCTAACCCTCCCACTTGGAGATAAACAGGTTAGGTATCAGCCCCATTTGAAATGGGAGAACTGGGATCCCAGGGGTCCCCTGACTTGCTCAAGGTGGTACAGGAGTAGGCAGCAGAGTTGGCCCTGCTCTGTGTGTCTCTGAATCAGCCCCGGGTTTCAGTGTGTGTTTCTCCAGCCACGTTCGGAAGGGAGCAGCTCAGTGTCTAACCACAGCTCTGCTGGGACGTCTTTAGATGTGGTGTCTCATAATGTTATCTCATGAACTCTCCTCTTGCCTTCCTCTGGGATAGAATGTGGCTGTTCCAGGAGGTGAAGAGTCTTCAAGGAATCTCCTGTCCCATCCAGAGCTCAGCCACTAGCCTGGAGGCCCACCGGAGGCTTGGGACCTGGAGAATAAAGAGAGTCTGGGGGGAGCAGGCCCAATGAGCTGGTAAACTAGGGCTACAGGGACCAGCAGGTGGCACAGGGGGTGTAGAGGGCCTGCTGGTGGAGGTGGAGAAGCTGGAAGTTTCCAGTGCACAGTGAGAGGAGATAACACTCCCCTGCTTAGGCCCTCCAGGGGTGTCCAACTACACCCACACATCTTTCTTTTAATATGGAAAATGTCACACATGAACAAAAGAGAACGTTATAGTAAACATATACAAGAGTATGTAGTTTAATGGACATTACAAGAGAGAAGAGTATAAAGAGCCCCTGTGTATATATCACCCACCTCCAACAATTATCAACTCAAGGCCAATCTCGTTTCACCATACTCCCAACTCTCTGGATTATTTTGAAGTGAATATCATATGTCTTCCTTTCATTCATAAATATTTCAGTTTATATCTCTAAAAAGGACTAAAAAAAAAAACAAACAAAAAAAACCACAGTATCATTATCACCCCTAACAAAATTAACCATTATGTCATAATATTATCAATTATCCAGCACCCAAAATTCCCTGATTGTCATATAATTTTTACAATAATTGGTTTGTTTGAGTGAGGATCCAAATAAGATTTGTTTCCATTATTTATTATTATGTGGCAAATCACTCCAAATATAGCGGTGCTTCACTGTGGCTTGGCAAGTTGGGTGGTCCTTCTGCAGGTTTCTCTTGCGATCATTCATGCGGCTGTGGTCATCTGATGGCTTAGTGGAGCTGAAAGGCCCAAGACGAGCTGCACATGGCTGGTGTGTAATGCTGGCTACTGGCTAGGATGTCTTGGTTCTCCTCCACGTGGCCTCTCATCCTCCAGGAGGCTAGACTGGGCTTCTTCACAGCTTGGTTGTCTCAGGATTCCAGGACAGCAAGAGAAGAAGTGACTTCTTCTTAAGACCTAGGCTTCTTAAGACCTAGGCTCCAGAATTTCCACATCATCACTTATGCCACATTGTGTGCCACACTGTTGGCCAAGGCAAGTCACAAGGTCAGCCCAGATTCATGACAGAGGAGAAATAGTTTCTATCTCTTGAGAACAGGAAAACAATATTACAATGCAAAAGTGTGTGGACACAGGGGCTATGTCCATGATAAAATCTACACCATTTCCACACTGCATTTCATTGTGTTGCTCCTAAGTCTCTTTTAGTTTCTAGGTTCCCACTCTGCTTCTTTGCCTCCCGCCCCCTACAATTTAGTTGTCATATAAACCACTGGGTCATTTGTCTGTAGAATCTCTCACAGACTGGATTTTGCTGATTGCTCTCTTGTGATGTCATCTTCCATGTTCTACTCTCTGTCCCCTGTATTTCCTGTAACTCGTAGATAGAGGCTTCATCAGATTATTTGGTGGTCTCTCTTTTTTAAAAAAGGTATTTTTAATAAAATATAGCTAACATACAATATATTAGTTTCAGGTGTCCACCATAGTTATTCAACATTTACATACCTAAAGAAGCGATCACCATATGTCCAGCAACCCTCTGACACTGTACCACACTATCAAAATATTATCGACAATATTCCCTAT